TTGAAGTCTTCGCACAGAAACTTCAACCAGTAAAAAAATTTATAATTTTGCTCAAATCTGTCAAACGCTGCAAATTAAAATAATACAGAAAGGTGTTCAGCAAACTACAGGGACAAGCCAAGACTGTTGTCTCATGACAGGATACCACTCCCTTAGCAAAGATAGTGGAAAGAGCCTCTGTTTGCTTTGCCAGGTTCTCTGAGCTTTGTGGCCAATATGAAATATAAATGGAGTGTTTATGGGTTTGTCTGATTCAAATTTAGCATCACATTTTTGCACTTCTCTCATAATTGAGGATTATATAGATAATCTTAGTGTGCAAGAGATGTGCTTTGCCTACAGGCTGGGAGAACTGAGCCTGCTGAAACAATTTCCAAACAGGGAACAACACAGCCTGGTCACCTCCCTGCTACAGGGATGTGATTTTGGGGGGGCGGGGGTGAAGGTAGAACTGTGCTTTATATTCTGCTGATCACTGGACTATGTGATAAGTCAGCTCGGGCAGCTTCCCTCCCTGCACTTTGATTTTTCACGTCCAGCCTATAAATCCCTAGTTTAATATTTCAGGCATTAACAGCTACATAGTGGTCTATGTATGATGCACAGAAGTTCCCAAGCTGCAAACTCTTTTATTTTGTTTCAGATTTTCACTAGAAGCACAAAAAAATATGAGGAAAATATATTTAAGGTCACCCTTGCTCCTCCCATTTCTTCAAAAATTTCAAGATAATGATTTAAATTGAAATGTATAATGAAAAAAACATATTCTTACATCATCATCATTATCTCATTCCTTCTATTTCCTTCAGTTCTCCATACATTGCAGTCTTCAATGCACCATCAACCCACATTTAAATAAATAAAGCAATCGCAAACTTCTTAGACATCATTCTCATGGGGAAATAATTTCATCTTTTGGCTAAGTTGTCTGTCCTAATAAAGAAGGTCAAGTTAGCTCATGGGCAGTAACTACTCTCTACGTCTTAATTTACTTCATATTTCTTTCACCCTCTTGTCATTGAAAACTAGTTCAGATACATTCTTTTATTTTACTGATCACCAAAGCTAATTAATTCTTGTCTGCTCCTGATGCTATTGAAAGCAAAGGCATGTGCACCAATTCCTGTCATGAAGGAGTTAAAAACTTCTCAGCCTTCACTCTGGAAGGTTTGTTCCTATGCCCTTTTAGACAATGACAAGCCGTTAAGAGTAAAACTAATTAACATTTCAAAAAGTAGTGTTAATCAATAGGACATAGCTTCTTCGGGAGCCTTGCTCTGTCAAATTTTTCTGCTTGATTTTTTATACCATATCTTTTAAATTACTGTGTTAGTTTTAGATGTGTTTCCTGGATTGAGAACATGGTGAAACATTAAAAGACTGAAGTCACTAGAAATATATCACTGGTATTTTTTTAATATCTCCACTGAACTCTAGTTATTTATTCTGCTGTTCCTCCTTCATCCGCCCCCCTTCATTCTCTCGAGTGGCAGACTTGATTCTCATTCAATTTTATTGTTGTAATAAATGACATATTATATTTAAAATAACAATTTATCATCATCATCTATCAGGAGAATGCTGGTGAAATCTAAATTAGACCCCTCCTAAAGGTCTGTTTGTGTGGTAGGTTTTTTTATGTTGGAGAGAATAAAAAAGTTTACTTGTTATTTTTTGCATTTCCTGTTTTGGAAGCAGAGTGATCTTCATAATTCCAACACATAGGAACTTGGGGAAATTTTCTGTTTTAGAGAAAAGTGATTGCTTAGTCCTACTGTTGCTAATATGCATTTGGATATGATCTAAATGGTAGAGAACTTTAGCTTCTGCTAAACCAGATTGTATTGGAGCATTATCAATAATTTATAAATTCAATACTATGTTATCGTTCTCAATATGACAATATCTGACAGTTGTATATTAGTGAAAAATTTGGAAAAATCAAGGAGGGTGCCAATGAAGTCTTCAAAACTGTACATGTGGATATTTTGTCTTGGCATTTTTGAGCACCATAAAAAGGAGTTGACCACAAGTTGACTTATGCAGCCTGTTTTCAGTAGCTTCATGCTGGAAAGAGCGGAATGTATACTTACTGTGCTGCTGTGGACAAAAATTTACTGTGAGGAAAGCATCCTATCTTTTCTCACATTTAATAATTTGCAGTAGTAACTTGAGAATTGTTGAAATTTCCTCTGAAACACTACAGCTATCAACTGAGTAATGATTAAAATCCTGACGTTTACAGGGAATATAAATAAGGTTTAAAGCAGTAGGCCTGAGAGACTTGAGGGCAGAATGAAGTGATCAAACTAACTAAAATTCAGGTTTACTAAAATTTAGAGGCAATCCCTAAATCAGAATGCCCCTCTAGCCTCAGTTTTCAGGTGAATTCACTGAAGTGCTATAATTTCTACAGCTCTATACAGGAAACAGAGACTCAATCTCAAGAGGAATGGAGCAAGCCTTGTATTTCAAATGTTATACAACAGTGCAGACATAATGGACATACCTCATAGGTAGAGCCTGTCCTCAAACCAGACTTTAATAGGGACAAGGAGTTACCTGCTGTGAAGCCAAGTATCATATTGGAACATGCCCATCCTATAGGAATCTCAATGCTTTTTCTAACTGGGTTGCCGAGGCTCTCACTGGCTGAGAGCTAAAGCTCAATGTAGGAGTAGAACAACTCCACTATTTTTTGTGGGTCCACAGGTGACAACACACCCTGCAAGCACAGTTGCTTGGAGCCAGGAGAGAGATTGTGGAGAGATTAACCTTGAATAACATACTCATCATCCTGTCTTTAAGGGAACCTAAGAGTATTCATTCTTCTACATGCTGAGATTCACCGCAGATGTAGCCGGGCCATTCACATAATTTCTATTAGTCTTACAATCTTAGACCTTTAATTTCCATTCCATCTTGTTTGCATAATGTTTCATGAAAGAAATGTTACTGCATAGGCAGTAGGACTAAAAGAAAAGGTGTGTATGTGCACATCTGAAAAAATAATATTCATTTGACTATTTAGTGTTAAATTGAAAACTGTACAGTGTAGAGCATGTCATTGATTCAAGTATGTTACAAGGTGATAACCCCTCAGTATTCTTACAAGATCACTGATGTAACTTTCAGCAAAAGTATGTCACTTACATTGCATGTCAACATTACTCTTTTGTCTACTACTTGGTGTCAAAAAACCTTTCTCAAATTAAGTAATGGCATTATAAATATAACCACGTCTGAAATTATTTTTCTAAACTCAAAGGAATTCCATCTCTAATCAACAGCTGACATTTAAGGCAAGTTCATAGTCCTACTACTTCCAGGACTTGGACCCTGTGATACTTTTGTCTTTTCTGTACATTATACTTTGAATTTAACACATTTGAGTCCAATAAGATTCATTAAGTTAAAGATTCTACAACCACTAGATGAAACTTATGTCATAATTTGATCAAACTGAACCTACTCTTCCAAATCCAGCTAATCTGAAGAGGGACTGCATGAGGAAATTTTTCTAAAATTCAGATGGCAAGGCATCAGAGGCTGTTTTCTCATGAAGCATTTTGCAATGAAGTTTTCGAAGCTCAGATTCCTTTGCAGTTCTAGCAAAACTGTGTTTAATTTCATTATAAATAACCACAACCAGCTGATTGTGGTAATTGTGGATACATTTACCAAAACAGCCACTCATAAAAACACAAAAGTATAATATAAAGTAATCTTGCAATATTGGCTCAGTATCAATCAATTATTCCCAGGGTGGTGTATATAAAAAATTCCTTAAATAGCAGTTCAGTAGTGGGAATTAATTCTGGGACATTTGCCTTTTAATTTGTTCTTAAAAAACCCAAACCATCATCAGAGAGATTTCTCTTCCAATCAGCAGTTTTGAATAGCTTAACTGGAGTGATCTTTTCTTGCATCTGAAAACAATTGTCCCTTGTATGTTTTTCACCATGCTTTTCTGCCTAAAAGTACAAAAATGCCCCATGAAGATTGAAGAAAATGGGTAAAGAAAAGGGACTCTGGTGTGCAGACATCTGAAATGATGGTACAGAAAATTCTTTTAAGTGGACCATCAAGTTCACCTCTGACTGACAGAGATGCAAAGCCATTTCAGACTGCAAAGTCATAATAGTTTTGTGCTTTTCTATCTGTCTTTCTTTCACGTGACAAAAGTTAAGCTTAGATTTTACAATTTTAGGAACATTCTATGTTATGCACAGAATAAAAAAGATCAGAAAAAATTTATTTCCCGAAATTTTCCTCATATGAAATTCTACTTGTAGGAAAACTGACCTTCCTTGACCTATGGAAAGCTGTAGGACAGTGAAAATAACAAAGAAATTGTAGAGTGAGATGAGATAGCTTTGGGTTACAGGCTGTGGGGCATGCCTGCAGAATGCCATGGCAGCACAGAGAAGCTTGTCTGTGCCTGGCCTTGGGAGGAGGAGATGTGACAAGGCAGGTGCCCTACAGACAGTATAACCCCATATAAAAACATTAAGAAAGCATGTTGCTGACGTGGCAGTATGTGACAGGTGAAAAACACCCTATAAGGAAATATTGTGTCTTGAAAAAGTGTATAAAGCCAGCCCTTTTGTCTGAGCAAACATCTCAGCATCCCTGCCAGTCTGAGTGCCTTGGTCACTGCAAATGGTGCCCTGCATCAGGGACTTGACAGGCAACAGGTGGCTGCACCATAACAATGCTCAGCTGAACTATAGGGGAGCTGAAACGAAGCCTTGGGACTGAAATGCAGTCCGTGGTTCTGACTGACCTTTCCACAGAAAGGAATGTAAACAGCTGAGAACTATGGGGAGTGGTGCACCCCCGGGACAAAAGAACATCACGGAGACGTTGAAATAGATTTTGATAAAACATGGCAGGAAAGCTGAATCTACAGATTTGAACAGACTCTTGTTATGGGCTTGTTATGTTATTGTTAAGACTGTGGTTCAACTTTAGACAGTACCAATGTTTTTGACCCTTGGACATGGGACCCTTTAGGGAACCCTTTGTGAGACCAAGTTACACGAGGTGATGGAGCACTGGCAGAGGTTTTGTATCCGTGGCAGACTGTGTATGAGGCACTCCTAGTGCACGTGGCACCTGGAGAGTGGAAAAAGAAGGACACTTGTGCCACCTCAACAGCCATGCCGGCCCCTTCCACGGTGCTACTGAGCAAAACACAAGGCTCTGATAGTAAGTCTGTCAGAGCTGTGGGAGAACCAGAGCATGGTCCCTGGTCCCCCGACCCTCGGGGACACTGGATTTTTTTCCCCCCCAGTCTGTATAGTCAGTGGGCAGCAGTGAGAAAACAAGATGCAGCAGTGGGAGATGCAGATTTAAAGGAGCTTGTGCTGCCCCACACCATGTGGGATGAGCTGGAGCAGTGCCGCAATGAGTGGCAGGACCTGGGGCAGCCAGTCCTGACAGTGTATTCCCTGTCTGCCTGTCCTCTGCGAGAGTATGCAGGTGGCGGCAGCGACAGGGAGTGTGTGGAATCACAGTACACTGGAGTGGCGGTGGTGAGCACATGGTGGTGAGCATGTAGCAAAGCTGTGCCACAGCAGCGAGCACATGGCACAGCTGGAGAATGCCGGCACGTGGAGGGCCAGCATCTCTGTGGGTCTGGTGGGGCAAGCATGGCTTTCTTCGTGTGGGCAGCTCAGCAGGGAGCCTGGCAGCACCACCAAGCATCCAGTGGTGCGCTCCTGAGCCACCTGCTTGCCACGGATTGCAACCTCCTGTGGATCCTCATAAGCCAATGCTGTGCTGGAGAAGAGAATTTGGTGGACTAGTGGCCCATTCCTCAGGAGAAAACTTCAGCATTTGCACCATCTTGTGTGGGGGTGGCTGTGAGCTAAATGTGTCATTCTTGCAGCTGGTCTGTGGAACACTCCTATTTTTGTTAGAAAATGAGTGGAACATGATGATTGCTGCACGTTACTGTGCCAGTGGGGTCCCTATAGTCAGGACTACCATCTCCTGCAATGTTGCCATAATCCTGGATCCTATCTCAGAGATTGCTTTCTACCATACCACCTTTTGACTGCCTGCATCGTTGCAGGCAAAAAGCATTGCGTTGCTTTTTGTTATATGTCTTCCTGTAATAATCCTGACATAAAGTCATTAACTCTCTTTTATATTACATATTTCCAGTTCCCGACTATAGGCAGAAATTTCCCTTACAAGGCAAAAATTCCCTTGTAATTTTGTTTCCCAACTGTCTGTTAAATCACTGTCTCCATTCATGGGAAGGAGGTGTGTATTGCTACCAGTTACTGGGCGTTTTTAATCTGTCCCCGTTTATGGGAAAGATGAGCTCTTGTGAGGTCATGTTCCTAACTGTTATTAATAAACATTTGCTTGTAGGATATTTTAGGGAAACAGTCCCAGTCAAGGCCTGGTCAAGCCCTGGCACTGGCTACTTGAGGGAAGTATGCCATCAAACCCATGTGTTTCTGCACTAAAAATGTGACTAAGTCACTTTGACTTGCTGATTTGGTCTTCTAAAAATGAACCCCCTTTTGAGGTAAACTTGGAAACCTTTCATGGGAAAGGTCCTCCAGGTCCTCACTGTGAAATGGGCCTCCCCAGAAATTGCAGACTCTGGGTGATGGTTAAGTATTTAGGCAGCTGACAATTGTTTTATTAGATGTATTGTTTTACTGTTCATAGTAAGAGAAGTGCATGTTATTACACATATTTCTGAATTTGTTAAGTTGAAATATGTTCATGTTATGATTGATACCTCTTCCACATGTATTTTTGCTTTTGCCCATACAGGTAAACATGAAAAAGATGTCCAGTGTCATTTTACATCTGCTTTTGTAGCCCCTGGAGAATCTGTCTCCCTAAAGATTGATAAAGGTGTGGCCTATACTGGTGCCTTGGGTTTTAGCTTTTATATACAAACAGATGGCTGAATTTTTTTCATTTGTGGGATATGCACAATGTCACAGGTATTCCACATTCCCCTATAGGTCAAGTGATTGTTGAATGGGCCCACAGCATTCTCAAGCCCACGTTGTTACAACAAAAAATGAGGTGCGTATGGATGATATATACCCCTCATGAAAGACTGCAGAAAGCCTTATATGTTCTTCATTTTTTGAACTGCATTCAGAATCACTTAATTCCCATCCAACAACATTTTAGTGAATCACAGGCTCTCTTAGAAAAAAGCTCAAGTACATGTTAGGAATCTTGAAAGTGAAAATGGGAAGGACCCTTTCCATGGATAACCTGAGGGTAAAGGTATACTTGTGTTTCCACAGATTCCGGTCCGCAATGGCTACCTGCAAGAGTGGTCCGACCTTGGTTACCCTGCTTTCTTCATCAGCTTGTGGGGAAGCTGAGGGAACAAGATGAATGGAGCTTGTTTGGTTTGGACAGTGGGTCAAATGTGTTCTAATTTTGGGAGTATTTTTTGATTCTTCTTTGCATAAAATGAAGAAGGGGATATTGTAGAAAGAGATAAGACACAGAGTTGAGCTACAGGCTACGGGACGTACCTGCAGAATGCCATGGCAGCACAAAGAAGCTTGTCTCTGTCTAGCCTTGGGGGACGCCCACATGGCAGATGCTCTACAAAAAGGATCACTCCACATAAAACCATTAAGAAGGTGCATTGCTGACGTGGCAAAATGTGCTAAGTTGCTTAGTGAAAAATACTGTATAAGGAAATGCCGCAACCACTGAAGCCTGGGCTAGCTCAAGGGGAAACACCAGCACTGTGCCAGGTGTGGGGACCTGCCTCAATGTGAGATTCACTGGGTGCAGAATCTTTGGAGCCCCTTGCTCAACAGTGTAGTCACCATAAGGGATGAAGTGAATGAGAAGACAGAGGCTCTTAGCTCCTGAGCTTCCAACAGCTTCCAATTGAGTTGGCAAAGAACCCTGAGCTCTGCTGTGCCTGGGATTAAATACAGAGGCATAACAGGGGGTGGGTGCAAACAATCAACTAATAAAGAATTCTTAGGGGAGGAGTGAAGGGCAGAGTTTTACAAAGTATAAACCAATGAGGGAAGAAGGGGGAGGAGAAAGGGTCAATGGCCCAATGGGGCTTCCAGTATTAGGGGATTTCCAGGGGGGTGGAGTAAAAAGGGATAGGCCCAGGGTGGGACCAGCAGGGAAGGTACTGTAACAAGGGGCACGGTTTCAGTAATGGACAAGGAAGGAACTGGAACAAGGGGTGGAGAATGCCATATAAGGTCGTTTCAGGGGTGGATACAACTTAGGGGCAAACTAACTGGGGTAACACAGAGGTACATAAGGACAACCCATTACAGAAACTTTAACAATGAACTAAATAAAATAAACGCATGCCACAACAAGGAAATACTGTGTCTTGAAGAATATAAAATCAGTTCATTTCTCTGAATAAACATCTCAGTATCCCTGATGGTCTGAGTTTATGCCTTGGCTGTTGCAAGAAATCTTAAAAATATATCTGGTCTGAAGTCTTGAGTGTGATGTTAAAGGAAGATGTAAAGGATAGTAAATACCTTCAAAGTGTGTGTTAGAGAAGAAAGGAATATTTTTTTAACTTCTATAGGGAATACTGGAGTAATAATTTGCCCAGTATCTATCAGTGAGTTTTCCTTGTTCAACAGTTTGCTTATCAAAATTTCACTTTTAATGAATTTACCCAAATGCTGAAAACCAGAGGCTTTTAAAAGCAAACATGTAAGAGAGAAAAAGAAAAATTCCTTCCTGTTACTAGAAACTTTCATATCTCTACTAGCTTATATTCACATATACAGCAAGTGGGGTGTTCCTGTTGATGAACCCCCTGCACTCCAGTCACAGCTGCTGCTCATTAAACACCCATCACTTCACCATGATTCTCCACAGAGATCTCTAAATCCAGCAAGTCTCCTAACAGATAGGCATTGAAGTATTTTGAACGAATAAACTAACTTTGTGAATAGAATAGCTCATTATACATTTGATACGTTAAGTTGTTGTAGTGTGTTTCTTGTTAATGGTGTGTTCTGTTATTGCCCAAGTTAATGATTTAGTCCAAAATTATACCCTCCCATCCACCTTGTCAATCTATCCTAAACTACCTGTCAATCCTGCTTTGTGCCAGTCCCCTGCTTGGAATTCCCCTTTGGAAATCCCCTAAAACTTCAGGTCTCATTAGTCCATGTGACCCAGTTTTTCCCCCTACCTCCCTCATTGGAAAATATCTTTGTTAACCGTACCCTTTACTCCTCTCCAGAATTTCTCCAATTTGCTAAGAATTTGTACCTTCCCCTTGAACCTCCCCTATATTTAAGTTGTTGCACCTTCACCATTTTTGTCTTTTGTCCCGTGGATTCCCCAAAGTAAAGAATCCTTTTTACCCTATGCAAAAAACCGCCCCCTCCTCCTTGCTTCCTTTGAACACAGTCTGACAGCCAAAAGGCCATGGAGCAAAAGCTCGAGCCACATCTAAGGCCTCCTGTTCCTAGGGTGGAACTCATTCTAGGCATGGGACCATAGTGGCAAAGGGAGTGCAGCTCTGGCTGTTGCATCATTATGACCTTTGGACTTCAGCCTTAACAATGGTCGTGACGTGTCAGATCTAAATCCAGTAAGTGCCATCTTCTTGCTAAAAACATTTCAAGATGCATAGACTTGTGAATCCACAAGATGGAACAAGACATCAGAAGGGCTGTTCCTACTGCTTGAGAAGAGAGAAATACTTTTTCTATGCAGCTGTAGATATACTTCAATACTAATAAAACCATGATTATTTACACTATGGCAATGTTCCTGACCTCTGCAGGCAGTTTTAACTTTTAGGTTTATCCTTTATTTTTTTCCCATGCAGTATTTTTACAGTCATAATTTTTCCTAAGCGAGCTTGTTGGAGAAAAATATAATATTTTCATGTGTGTTATGGGGATGAGGTGAAGTACATGTCAGCAATTTTTTGGAAATAACTGACCATACTATGCCTTGTAATTGAAAATCCATGCATCTGTTCTTTTCACTGAGATATGTTTCAT